AAATTGTTTACCACATTTTGCTAGGTTTTTTACTCTCCTGTTTTTATAATTCTGAAGAAATCTTGTAGTTAAGGACCTGTGACAGATCCATCTCATCCCAATTATTCTTTGAAAAAATATAAGAACATTACTAAAGTTTTTTTTTTTATATGGATGCTTGATAAGAAAGCTGTATATCAAAGATGCTTATCTTTGTATACTGATTCATCAATCATCACACAATTTTCTATATATTTGGCCATTAAAAGGCAGCTTAACAGTTTACTGCCCTTCCATTTAGCCTAGCTTTGGCTCCATATCTTTTTCTATAAAGTAGTCATGGCCTTAGCCAGTCATCTCCATTCACTCAACATTGACTTCTACTTTTATAAAACAATTAGTGTTTTGTCTATCCTCCACTCAGGTTGATCAATTCTAACACCAAATCTCAGTTGATAACAACTCAGTATTTGGTCCATCATAGGTTTTTGGACTCTTCAGCCATCTTCTATGGCACTTCAAGCTTTAGAATTTTATGTGTACAAACTCCTGTCTTCTACAATTACTCCAAAAACATCTTCCTACTTTGAGGATGATAGCTTCACAAAATTATTCCCTTGGGTCACTTTCACATGCATTACCTATAGTAGAATTTAGCTTTCCAATAGAGTTTGACCATAGATCCATTATTTCAGTATGTGTACCTTCAAACATGTCATTTTCCATGTGTGATGAATATTTTGGCAGATTCTCTTTTCCGGGATCTTTTCTGCCTTATTACCACAGTGTGTACTCTACACCCTTTCATTTTCAATGGCTATGTTAATGACTGAGTCAGATATAAAATTTTAGGTTTTTCTGGTTGCTCCACTTTGGCTGGCTCAACCATGGTTCTCCCTGTTATGTCATCTTCCTCATAGAAAATTGCACTACCATGGTAGGAATATATTTTATGTCAGCCTTTAATGTCCATTTTTCACAAGGAGTTTCCACATATATGGCTTCACAGCTGCATATCATTTGTTCTTTTGATAAAGAAACTGGGTACTCTTCATGGGTGCCTCGATTGTCAGTTCATTCTTGTTGATATTCAACACTTGTTGTCTTTCTTTGGTAGTTAGTGCATTTGATGTTCTATGTCTTGTCTATCTCCATTATTCTCACAAATATTGTTTTATTTTTAATGTATTATGATTGTGCTTCATTGTGCTTTTGATTCCTTGGGACTCATTAATCTCTTTTTCCCACTCGTTCACATGTCTATTTCAAGCTTTTCATCAACAATGTACTCAAGTTCTTAGAGACTGCTCGAAGTGGGATGGCGGTAAGTTTATGGACTTACAATGCTAAGATCTAGGGTTGAATTTCTGCAGTGGACACAGCAAATAGCCCAGTATGGCTTTGCTGTAAAACAAACAAACAACTCATCATTTTGAACCTTTAGCAACTTATTTTGTTTAGCTTCTTTCCCTCATGATATAATTTTAATTTTATTTTGCATTGGGCAGAAGATGTTCTTATATCTATGATATGATCTCTTACCTTATTTTCTTTATTTGCATTACTTGTCTTAACTGACACAGATTATCATTCAGAATATTGTTTTTTATGTTTCATCAGAGCTGTTTATAGTTATCTTGCATGTACCAAATCATTCAGGAGAGTATGAAAAAGATTTTTGATCCCTTATGAAAAATCATGCTCTTTAGATCTTTCTCTTACAGTATTAACAAGTTGTTTGTTGCAGTTGGTCCATCTTGTTTATCAAGACATAGTTGAGCACCTTAAAGAATGTATTTTGGGTTTCTTCTTGCCAAATTCAACACTTGTCAGTATCTTTAACATCCTGTGCCATACCCATTGGAGAGAATTCTAAAGTCTGGTATATGATTGAGTCCAAATACATTTTGTACTCAAGTTCTTAGAGACTGCTCGAAGTGGGATGGCGGTAAGTTTATGGACTTACAATGCTAAGATCTAGGGTTGAATTTCTGCAGTGGACACAGCAGAATGTATTTTGGGTTTCTTCTTGCCAAATTCAACACTTGTCAGTATCTTTAACATCCTGTGCCATACCCATTGGAGAGAATTCTAAAGTCTGGTATATGATTGAGTCCAAATACATTTTGTACTCAAGTTCTTAGAGACTGCTCGAAGTGGGATGGCGGTAAGTTTATGGACTTACAATGCTAAGATCTAGATCATGCTCTTTAGATCTTTCTCTTACAGTATTAACAAGTTGTTTGTTGCAGTTGGTCCATCTTGTTTATCAAGACATAGTTGAGCACCTTAAAGAATGTATTTTGGGTTTCTTCTTGCCAAATTCAACACTTGTTTTTCAACTTTTGCTTACATCACAGCACTGTTTTTTTAACTTCGAAATTCCATTTCCCTCCTCTGGTAATACTCTAAGTCAGATGAAATCACTAACAGTCAAGTTCCATTACACTTCTTAAATGAAATTAAAAAACTTCCCAATCTCTCTCTCTCTCTCGTAACATGAAGACTTCATATTTTGGTTGTTTTATACAGTCAGAACTTTTGTATATTGTATGTTTTCTTTTACTTCCATGATTGTCCCTAGACCCTATGCCATTCTCTGAGCTGGGGGCCCCATGAGAGGAAACTGGACAGAGGGTGCCATAAGATAGCAGATGATTCCTCTGTGGGTGGCTTTTCCCACCTGCACATCTTTGCATAGTATTTTAAAGCATTGGAGTTATGATTACTGTTTTCAACTAATATCTTGTACCTCAAACTTGGATGGGGTACACTGTACAATTTCATTTTGACCTTATTTTACTTCCTTACTTGTTATTCTCATTGTGCTGTTCTCCTCAGGATCTACTGGTTCATTTTGACTATCCTTGGTTGCCTGCTTACTAGGCTGTTTTCATGACTTTGCTAGCCCAAGGAATAAGTCTAGTTTCTACCTGATTGCCAGTCTTCACCACTGTGAATCTTCCTCTTACAAGTACAGGACAATCCTTTGTGCTGTAACCCTGGATACTCATCTAGCCAGCACTTGGGACTGCACTTACAAATGTGCATGGCTACCTGATATCTTCATACTGCCTGTCCCCCTTTATATTTTAATCCTAAAGGGTTTATGAAAAAGCTAGCTGATAATGTTAAAACTAACAGCAAAGTTATCTCTAAGTAAATTAAAGATAAGCAAAACTTTGAAATAAGAATTGGGCCTTTAAAGCATGGTAATGGCAAGAACTTTGTTGATAGTTATGAGGTGGCTGATCTTTTAAATGTTTTCTGTTTTTGCCAGAGAAGGTATCAGCAATATACTTAACCCTGTGTATCCTATTGGAAGTATTAGAATTGACCCGAATCTTGTTGATATTAATGCCTTAGTATTATGTAGATAGATTGAGAGGTTAAAAATTTATAAAGCACCAAATCTAGGCTAAGTTTTCCCCCAAGTTTTAAAGTAAATCAAAAATGAGATATGTGAGCCTCTTATTTTTGGTAGTTTAATAGACAGTGGGCATAGTCTGATTGGAGAGCTCCCAATGTTACTTCTATTTTAAAAGTGGTTGATAATAGTTAACCAGGAAATTATAGGTCAGTTAGTCTTATTTCTGTAGTAGGGATAAAATCTGATACAGTCTTTATACAGTTTTGGTCTCATTATCTAAGAAAAGGCTCAGAGGAAGGCTACTAGGCTCATTCCAGATAATGAAAGGTTATTTTATATGAATAAATCAGATCTCTTAACTTATTTTCTTTTGAGAAAAGATGGTTAAGAAGTGACCATATTGAAGTTTACAAGATTTTCCAGGGGACCAATGGAATAAAGGCCTTTAATTTCTAAGTGTCATATTTTGAAGGTAATAAGATGAGAGGACAAAATTTAGAATTTATAAAAACAGCCTAGGCTCCATATAAGACAATTTTATTTTTCTAACCATTTGGCTTAGGGAATGAGTTAACATTGGCAATAATAGAGAGCAACGCTTTACAGTTTGAGATTCTGATTGTAAATATTTGTGAAAACAAAAACAAAATCCTTAGAGGAAAGATTCTTGTAACATATAAATTTAGTAAAATGCATCATTATCATTGAAGTAATTGTATTCCTATAACATAGTTCATATTTACTTGCCTCGGATTTGAACTTGAACCCTGTCACATGCCAGGCAAGTGCTCTACCAAGTGAGCACTTGCTAGTACGTCACTTTTTAATAACTCAAACTACTATACCAGCACATTGCATCAAATCTCTAATGGACATTTTTATGTAGTTACCTCATGTAACAAGCATTAAGTGTCTAATATTTTCTTGTATTAAAAACTGCTTTGTTTATTATGACCATTTCTGTGTTAATTAGATTTTAACAGAGCATAAAACTAGTAAATTGTTAATTTATACAAGCTCTCTCTCTCTCTCTCTCTCTATATATATATATTTATTATATATATATTATATATATATATATATATATACTAAGTTATTACGTTAATTAAGTAATTAACTAATTAATAATTAACGTATT